TTAGATCTATTGACCCTTGTCGCTTTGATCCTAAAGTTGGTAAGTTTCTTGGCTATTTTCGACCCTCGGCGGCGCAGAGACCGGCACAGCCTTGTACACCTGTACCTTGAAATAAGCGTTTATTGAAAGAACCGGATGGACAAGTCCGACTTTCTGCCAATCCGAATGGATCATTTCCTGCAGAAAGATGCACAGTTTGACGGGAACCAGACTACTTTTGAGTCTGGTTCAACTTGGCGACTGCTGCGGCTCAGACCGCGAGGATACATGCCATAGCAACAAATTGCATTTCGAGAATTCCGGAAGATCGTATATATGAGATGTTTTCATCCTGTTTCGTTCAGGGAAATAAGAGGAGTGGTACAATTCCATTGAATTTCCCATGGCTTTGCGTTCCCAGAAGGTATTCTCATCCCGGCTGAAGTGGACTGTAGTTTCGACCTCGACCGAACTTGTCTCATCATCACCGGCCGTGGGATTCGAACCAGGACAGTGCAGTGCATAATTACGATGCGAATACATTTTAAGAAAGCCAGCTTGTGTGCAAAACACTGGAAACGTAAATTCTACTCATAAGATTGTGGGAAAATCCAACCACCAGTTCCCCTATTACTCTATACGAAAACGGATGAAAGCATCTCATATGCAGCTTATATTTTGTTTCGATTTCGCCTTAATTATTTGGCGTGAGTGAACGTTCAATTTCAAAGAAAAATGAGGATTGACCAGTATGAAGTGAAAACTGGCGGATTCACGGAAGTAGTCAGTTCACAGTTCGTTGGGGCAACAGGACGGCGAGGCGATGACCTCAATTCCACAGTGGTCAATCATCTTTTCGTTTCTGGTGGTACGAACCAACCAACTTTTCCGTCGAAATTGAAAGTCGACTCAAACAACAACTTCATTTCACTGTCTTCCACATCTACTCCACGAGCATTCTCTTGCTGGAGCCGTGATAGATAGCCTCTGTCAGTTTACATATATATATATATATATATGTGTGTTTGTGTGCACTTTCCAATGTGTCACTCACACAAGGCATCTTAATCGGAAACAGCTGGGCCTAAGGATGCCCGACTGCCTGGTGTGTCATGGTAACTGGACCCGTTGCTCTTTTCACAATTGGCTTCATGGTACTTCACATTGTGTATGTGTGTGTGTGTGTACATGTGTCCGCCGGCCGGCCAACAATTCGGCATACTTGCTCGCGTTGAGAAGAGGATTGGCGTCGTGGCGTCATGATGACGCCAGACGGAGGCAATTGTTTTTCAACGAGCCTGGGTGGGAGTCATTTGATTAAAAGTCGCGACATATTGCAGGCGAGCCGATGCTGTGACTTGATGCCCCCGGACTGGGCATTGTTTCCAGGGCGGAAAAAACACACTCACCTGGCCGGCCTTGCGGAGCAAGCGCATCCTCCGGCAGGCGGGGATTCGGCTCGAATAAACGAAGGTGAAAGCTCGCTCAGGGTGAGGAGGGAGTAGGGCCAAGTGGGATGTTTTG